AGGCCTCGGCAAATGCACAAAAATGGAGGCTTCACTGTCCATATGAATTGATGCCGTTCCAGTGTTTCGCGTAATGCGTCCCGTACCTTAAGCAGCAATCCCTGTTGTTGATCAAGAACTGGATCGCTTAGAGAGAGCAGGATTGACTCATGCGGTAAATTATTCAGCCTGGGCAGCCCCTATCGCAATAGTTAAAAAACCGAGCGGCCAAATTCGAATATATGCCGACTTTTCGACGGGCTTGAACGGTGTATTGAACGATCAGCAGTACCCGCTTCCAGTTCCGGAAGACCTATTCGCAAAGCTCAATGGGGTCGTTTTGCGAAGTTGGATTTGTTGGACACGCACTTGCAAGTCGAGGGGCATGAAGACTCCAGAGAACTGTTCACCATAAACATGCACTGCGGGCTGTGTCAGTAGCACCGGCTGCCAATTGAGGTCAAGTCGGCGCGAGCTATATTCCAACAAACTATGGATACCATGATAATCGGAGTTGATGGAGGCGCCGCGTATCTAGACGACATAATCATTGTCGGAAAGAGAACCAGCGACCTCACTTGCAATTTGGACAGAATACTGGGTCGAATTGAAGAATATGGCTTCAGATTGAGCACAGAGAAATGCAAATTCTTTAGAGACTCCATAGGATACATCCGATTCATAGTTGACAAAGACGGAAGACGTCCAGACCCGGCAAACTTCGAGGCCATCAAGAGGATGCCGGCACCCACAGATGTCCCCACGCTGAGATGTTTTCTTGGGTTCATCAACCACTATAGTCCATTCTTGCCACGTATGCATCGCCTCCGGGGCCCGTCAAATGAGCTGTTGACTAAAGACAAACCTTGGCATTGGTCAGAAGAATGTCAAAATGATTTGCCGAAGTCAAGAAACTGCTGTGTTGAACCTCCTACTGACCCACTACAATCTCACGCTGAATACTGTGGTAGCCGCAGGTGTCTCGAACTATGGTATCGGATCAGTCATAGCTCACCTGTCCCCTGAGGATTCAGGAAAACCTATAGCCCCCGCAGCCAGGTCGCTAACGCCTGCGAAAAGAAATAGTGGCCAGATTGAGTAAGAAGCTTTGGCGATCGTCTATGGTGTGAGGAAATTCCACAAGATGGTGTACGGGAGAAAGTTCAATCTACTTGCCGATCACAAGCCCTCGTTGGCGATTTTCGGTTCAAAGTCAGGTATACTGGTATACACGGCGAACAGGGTGTAGCGTTGGGCCACAACACTGTTGGGCTATAAATGAAGCGAAGCAAGTCTCCACGAAAAATAGTGGTCAAACAGATGCACTCGGTTGTCGACGAAGGGAACACGCTATGTGGAAGAAAAACGCGCAGAAGTACCTATGCTCTGGCTACATCCATTGTGTTGTGACTACCGTCATCTGCCAAGAAACTACCCACTCACGGTCTTAAAGTAGGCTTTGGCCGAAAATAACTATAATACATCTTCGGTATTTCTTTTGCACTCCGAGCCAGTCTGACTTCCTGGCAATAGCTCGCCTGTCGCTGCATATTAAGTACTGTATTGCGACATTTCTTGCACTGCAACCAACGTGTAAATCCTCCTGATTCTCGGGACTTCTTCCAAGAAACATGCCAAACAAGTATGGTCGATTGAGCAATAGCACAAGTAAGCGCAGAGCACTAATATGAAGGGGCCACTGATAGGGGTTTGGTGACGACTCGTACCATGTCAGGTTGAAAAAGTGGTGTACTCGAAATCCAGCCGGGATGGTTCCCATCTCTGACACCAATTTCTATGGAAGACACCTAGAATAACCTTGAATCACCGATCACTTTTGAACTAGATTTGCCTTGTCCAAGGTGCTGCCCCAGAAAAAATACTCCATCCTAACACGCCTTCGCAGAATTGGTAATCGAGAGGGTATACTATGTGATTAAACAAAATTGTGACAAAACAGGAAGTTAATTTGTGTAAGTGTCCCCCGAGTTTAATCTTAACGGAATATTAGTGTCACGAAGTCAAACTCGGTGGAGACCACAAATAGAACACATCGGTCATTTTGGGTCTGAAGTGACTCAGAATACAACGGGGTTTATCATCAAACTTTCACAGAGTTGACTGAAGCTCTCACTCAACGGCACCGTTGCTCCTACCGGTTGCATTACACAAGGTGACAACAATTTCAGCTTTCTGATGCAGGAGATTTTTAAGCTGGTTCTAAGTGGACTTTTAATGCTGATTTTTTCCTACATACTCTAGTTTACGTGAATTTTACTATTTCATCTAACTAGAAAATTATATGCCAATACAATTCCGTTTCAGATGCGACCATGGATCATGTAAGTAAACATAACTGTACAAATGAATCCGAAGCGTTCTGATATATATACGGCAGGTAGACACTAGTTTGTGAAAGAACTACCACTTCGTTTGTAAAACGTGCATATAAAGTATACTTTGAAATACCCCTTATTGACCAAGACAAAATATGGGCACCACATAATGTGTGTCATTCTTGTGAGGAAAGGTTTCGTGATTGGACAAGAGGCGAACGCGAAGTCGCGCCATGTGGAGCTCCTATGATTTGGCGAGAAACTACGAACCACGTAACAGACTGCTAATTTTGCACGGGGACCACAAAAGGTATTGGCAAGGAGAAATGGCACATCTGTTATCGCAGTATTTTCTTTGCAATTCCACACTTTGAAGGGGGCTTCCAATTCCAAAATTTAAATGCTTTACTTCATTGGATGATGCAACCAGTGAGCGTAAAGATGAGGCCGTTACACGTGTTGTTGCAACTGATAGAAAACTTTCATCAGCCTCCCCAGCAATTCAGTCAAAAAGAAATGAATGACAGTGTGTGTGTGTGTGTGATTTAGGGCTCTCGAAGAGAGCCGCTGGGTTAGCTATCAGTCTCCAGCCTGTGAAAAAATCTGCTTAACTGAACAGCAAAATTTCCTTCAGAAAATGGGATGCAGTTCCTGCTATATTTTTTCCCAGAAAACAAGCGTTTATTTTTTGCTGTGATATTCCAAGCCTCTTATTGCAATTGGGCATTGTCCCGTACGATTCAACAGAGTGGAGATTATTGTTGGATAGTTCAAAATGTAGTCTCAAGTGTGCTCTATTACACGATGACAAGGTATATGGGACAGTTCCAGAGTGTAGTTGACAGAACAATAACATAAAAATCGTTACTGACCTCATCAAATATCGCGAACACAACTGGATTAGTAAGATGGTGAGCATCCTTCTTGGTCAGCAGACACGGTACACAAAAAACCACGTTAAGTTTGTATGTGGGATAGTCGAGCCCATAAGAAACATTAGACAGAAAAGCGGCGGTCAATAGGTGTAGCGCTGGACGCAGGGCATGTCAAACATGCGGAGTGAATGATTGTTAGCAGAGAGATCATAGTTCCTGCACCGCATTTGAAACTTGGCTTACGAGACAGTTCGGGGGATTCGGATACTGATAACAAATGTTGTAAGTACAAAGTTTCAGCTTTTCGCAACGGTTAATGACTGATTGGAGGGGTCAGTTTGAAGCACTCGTTCTGACTTGGTGGCTAAAGAGGTAGAGATCCCAACTGACGTCCCAATGGTCCCGGGTTCGATGCCTGCAATCTCCACTTGATGAGATCAAATGAGGTCGAAACACGTTGTGGTGTGCAGCGGTTTCGAACGGATAAACACCAAAACGTCCATCTGCTTCAGCTACGATCCCAATGATCGCATTCACCAAGGCTCACTTCAATGTGAATCGCAGTCTACATTGAGATTGCGTGTCGCAATTGATTCACACGAGTACTTCAAAATGACCTACCAATCAATTAAACGTGGCGCTCTTTCACGGCTCCCAAACTCGAACTCTGGTGCGTGATGAAGTATTTTGCCTCAAAGACTAACGGCAAGAAGACGAATGCGTGGTAGCCACTTGTGGGAATAAAAGACAGATAGTTATGGGGAAAAGGTTAACAGACCGTTGTTGTCATTTCGTGATCGTGGGTGCAACCAGAGTGTCAAGCTGCATTTCATGAACAGTCTCGGGGCAGTAGGAGATGAACAAAGGGAACATTTCATTAAAATTGGATGACGATGGAAGGTTATTCGGGATAAATATCGGACGACAGAAAATGGTTGAAACATCAAAAACGACCGCCCTAAAGAAATAGGTCGACGCAAGAGCTAAAACCGAAATTATTTCCTGATTAATGCATGTTATGCATCTAGCTACGTGCATATGCTGTGCCTGATCAAAATATTGTGCTGAAGATATGTGTTTGTATCAATGCATATGTTTACGATACGTCAGGTCATAGACCAAGATCGTGAACATTCGCGTCCAATGTAAAGATAGTTATGGTCGGTTTTCAGGAAAACTGTAGCTTAAAGAGAACACACAATGTTAGATCAGAATTCAGTATGCTCAAATTATGTAAAAGCCATGTTAGTTTCTTGCAGTCAAAAATTTAATGTCCTGTGTTATCAGCAACTCTGCCTGCACTGAGTACCGACATAGAATGCCATGTTTATCCAAATTCCCCGGCAAACAAACACGTACAATACGCGCGCAACAAAGACTGGAATTGCGGATGAGTGAACTCGATTTTGTGAGGGATCACATAAGTGTGCATGGGCACAAAACAAAATCACTCGGGATCCAAAAAGGACCGGGTGAAACACCACAAAGAAAGGTGTATTTCAAAGGGAGTCCGGAGTTTGTATGTCACCTTGGAGGTGAGGAACACCAAAAAGTCCCAATTAGAGTGATGATTCGAAACGGAGAACAGCTAATACCAGGCAACCAAAGTAAACTCCACTGCAAACGTCAAGTAGAGTAAAAGTAGTACAAAAAGTTCAGAAAAAAGCCCTTAATATGTAGGCATCGAGGTGTTAGAGAGCGGTGAAAATAATCAGATTCGAGACAAAAATGAGAGAAAATCGCGATTCGATCAGGAGGGGAAGGTCAGCTGCATTCAGGGAGTAATAGGAAAGCAGAAGTGGTCGCGACGGGGGAAATCGAACGACTGGTCGCTAGCTTGTCAAGGGGAATGGAGCCACAAAGAAAGAGGACGATCATGGAGAAAACCGCTGCGGAACGTGACGATTGGTATCCCAGTCATGGATAAGTGACATCTGTGGAAGCCGGGGGAAGCTTCTAGATCAGGATATACAGCATGACGTATCGGTGGAATCTGTAACAAAAGAATCGAGGTAATATGAAAGGTTCAGAAAGAACAACAGCGCCAGAAAGATAAGGAATGACTGGAACAAGAGAGGTTTGGTGACTTCCTAAATTTTTCTGGAAAATAGAGGTCAAGACCGTATACTGTTGTGCATGAAAAAGCATTGTCAGCGAAAGATAAAGAAGATGGAGGATAAAGTGTCTCACCGGCAGTTACACTCATATTCTGAGTGGAGATACCCAAGTTTCCGCAGAGTCACAAAAACGAGAGAGCTCACCTGATTGAAATCATGCAAGTCAATCGCAGTATCGTACACCTGCAAGAGCAATGGCCCACCCGTTAGATCAGGTATTAACCGTGAGAGAAAAACCATTCGCATTAACTAGTTCCGTTAACATAAATCCAATTAGCCCTTGGCTAATTAGATACGAATCCACTAACACAAAAGCGTCAATGACGGTGTCATACCCGGTAAAGTCTAGTCAATGAGATGGCCGACTCCAGGAACGCATATACAAGGTGACAAACATGGAAAAAGTTACCGTTTCGTTGAGTCTTTGCGTGGGTTTTTTGTCATGTCATTAACGGACCCTCTGGGGATTTCACCCAACTGGATGCAGTATTGGTAAACAATACACATGGTAAATAGTCGGTTTTCAAGCAAGCTATTCACATGGCCAGGGCAGCGGAAAAGTTTCAAGTTCGACAGGAACCAGATGGTCCGTTGTCACGATGATAACTTTTCTTATTCTCCACTCGGCTCACCAACCAGACACGACCAACACTACACAGATAGCGGTGGTCAAGCTTAGCCAGTTTCCTAGTCTTAAGCATGTGGTGGCCAGTTCTCTCATCCAAACAGTAATGCGGGCTGCATGGCAACGTTGCGGACCAATTCTACAAACCAATATACGCACATCTCACCGTCTCTGTAAGTGACTGAGGCTTTGAAGAACTACAAGACTGCGGCAACCTCCCTTGTGATATGACCGCCCAGAGGTGATACAACTCCCGGATAAATAATTCCATTGAAAATTCCCAGCTGTTGTTCGGTGACACTGAGAAGTGGTGTTGAGTCGGGTCCGGACCGTAACAGCGCCGAAGCATGTAGTGCTAAACGACAGCCCATGGAACAGCATCTGCATACAATCTGCATTTAACCCAACCCATCCGTGGTTCCCATATGCCCCACATTTAACAAATGGTATTGCAGTAGAACAACGGCCGTAAAAGAGGTGGAATAGGCAAGAGGGTCACATCTGATCACTTCGAGCACAAGGTTGAAAAGAAATGGAAAACCATTGGCACCCTGACACTCCCCTTGAAGCAGCGAACTCAAGCAGTAATTCCCTGTAGACTTACAAGACTACGCGTTCGTGGCACTAGGTTTAGAATAAAAGGGATTTCCTCTAAAACACCCTATGTTGTGATTCGCTACCATAGGCCTATCCCTATTGGTTGAATTTCGCTCAACAATGATTGATCGATTAGCGGACTTCTTAATTGAATGCCTTTTCGTTCTGGGCAGTTGTACGTTCGACGTGTCCTCTACAATATACTTCTGTTATATCTACATTCTTCTGATACAACATTTGGCGTCGCGAGTACCATCATGCATCTTTCAACTCAATCTCCATCAGCATTTTGGACTGACTGTGGAAACAGGCCTACGTCGGACGCCTGACTTCGCTGGAAAATTTCCTTCCAGAAATATTTGGATTTAATTATCGACTTAAAAGCTTCAACCAGTGAGGAGAACAAGTTGAAGCTGCTTTGTCACTTGCTCGGAGAAGAAAGTCAACGGCAGTTTGGTGACCTAAACCTCCGGGATGAAAATCAGTTGGTGACGCATACAAACCTCTCGATCGCATTTGGCGCTCCCAAATGAACCTGTTCACTGTAAGATACGTCTTCTCCAGAATGTAATAGGAGCCATGTGAATCACTGGATGCGTTTAATACTAGACTTAATCTGCAGTGCGACCGTGCGATTACTCTGATATTCCGCAGAAAAATATTGAAGGCTGCATGCTGACGCAACAGTTGAGCTCTGGAGTTGCTGATAACCGTATACGTGAAACGCTGCTACAGGATGACGCCAGAACTCTGAGCTGGGATCGAGCCTGCTATCTGGCCAGAATGAGGATGGTGGTTGCTCTGCAGGCGAAAGTTTTGTGTAACTAAACTGACCGATGTGGCAAAAATACAGTCTACTCATCCCTTACCGGGGAGTAAACCATCTTGCTACCGCTGTGCTAGTACTTCCCACAAGGCTAACTTCTTTTGTCCAGCCCGCAATCTCCCATGTGAAAACTGCGGAAAAATCGGACAGTTTGGTCGCTGTTGCCGACCTCAACGTATATCAGCCATTGAAGAGGACTCCGTTCCCCAGCAGGATGTAGCAGACCAACACGTGTACTCAGGCATTGCTGATGTCAGCAACTTGGGAAAGGTGATGATATCTGTCGTTGAACCGAAAGTTCTCTCTGCAGATATTTGAACCATCTTATTCCCTACGAACAAAGGTGTTATTCCACCAGAAGACGAATTGGATTTCGCTCCTCTTGTTAACCATAATACCTTCCAGTTTTTACAAACGTTACTTATCCGAATACCCTTTACAGCCGACTGCTCACTCATTCTGAAGTTACAGTGACAATAATTTAATCATTGTTGGTTTTTTCAGCGTACCTCTCCGGATTGGCCTGGTATCTGCGGATGTCACGGTATACGTTTCATCAGACAACAAGCGGCCTCTGCTTGGGAGAAACGCAATGGTTGCGTTAAAAGTAGCGCCATCTTTTGATCGTATGACTGTTTCCTCCATTGGAGTAAGATACTGGAAAGAGCGCTATCCAAAGCTTCAACCTTCGATCGGACGTATATCATGTGGTGTACATCGCATCTAGCTGAAACAGGATACGAAACCAGTTTCCATTAGTCAACCTCGACCGATGCCACTTGCGAAGCGTCAAGTTGTCACAGCAGTCTTGTAGGACATGCTAAGGAGCGATGTAATCGAGTCAATCGATTGCTCCGAGTGGATACACCCAATGGTGAGTGTTTTGAAGAAAGGCAGCACTATCAGGATATGTAATGATCTACAAGGTAAAAACAGGCAGATGGTCATGGAGAAATTTGTGCTACCTCCTTGTGACGAGCTAACAGTTCACCATTCTGGTGTAACAGCTTTCTCAAAACTGGATTTAAAAAGTGCATTTCTCAACATGCCTCTATCTGATGACTGCAAACCCCTTACTGCATTAGTAGTGCTTAATGGATGGTTTCAGTATAAAGTTTTACCCATGGCTGTGAGCTCATCACTTATTGCCTGGCAAAGTTCATGGCTCAAACTCTGGCAGGTTGCCTATTGGGTGACATCTGTGTCTTTGGTCGCTCGCCAGAAGAACATGACGAGCGCTTAGCTAAAGTGCTTCATCGACTCAGGGAAGTCGATCTCCGCTGGAACACGAAAAAGTGCATATTTAACGTCCTTGAGATTTGAGTTCTAAGGCACATTATTTCTCGCAGCGGCATTCGCCCCAGTAACGAAAATACCCGTGTCATAGCTGACTCGCAGATACCTAGTAACTTAACGGAACTAGTCTTTTCCGGTATGTGTTCTTACAACTTGCGATACGTTCGTGATTTTGCAACCGTGGCAGATCCACTACGGAAACTGACAAAAAATGGGTCACCGTTTGTTTGGGGGGAGTGAACAACAGAATGCCTTTCACGGACTTAAACGACGGATTTCCTCCGCCCTATTGGTTGCGACCTTTGACGAATCACGCCGTATTTTTGTGTCTACTGATGCCTCCGAGGTCGGCCTATTCGTGCACAACAACAAAACGGTGAAGAGAAAATGATTGCTTATGCTTCGCGGCAGTTATCAGACTTTAAACGTCACTACTCCGCAAACAAAAAAGAAAGTTCTTGTGGGCTTTCGAGAAATGGCATATTTACCTCTTTGGCCGCCGTTTCATTTTACGAACTGACCACTCCGCTCTTACCACCCCCCTCAGGAATGTATGCAAAGTGTTCCGCCCGATGCGAATCAATAGTTAGTACGTCAGACTTCTCAGTTACGATTTCCAAATCGTTTAGCGGCCAGGATGGCAAAACCAGATCGCGGGTGGATTATTCTGCTCATGTTTGGAAATGGAGCATGGAAGGGAAACACTCAGAGAGGCGGTAATTGTGTCTAGTCTTGGGTCCGATTTGTCCGCTCTGACGATTAATGAACTACAAACCGAGAATGCGAGAGAGGAGACGCTGCAGCAACTCGTGGCTTACGTTCAGCATGGATGGCCGGAGAATAATAAAAGTGCCTGTGATTTCCTTTCGTACTATGCAATTCGAGAGCAACTTTCAGTCGCAGATGGTTGTCTAATGCGAAGGCCACTATTTGTAGCTCTATCGTCGCTGGTTAACAAGATAATTGCGCGTGCTCAAGAGGGTCATCCGGGTATTGCCCGAACAAAAATAAAGTCCGACATTACTTTTGGTGGCCACGAATGGCATCAAGTACTGAAGCATTTTTGATAGACTGTCAAGCTAGCCGAATAGCGGATAAAAGTTCGCTGCCTGTCGAGGATCCCGTGCAACCGATACCATACCCGATGAGGCCGTGGGCTAAAATTGCAACTATTGTGATGGGACCCTTCGCTATTGCTCCGGCGAATAAGAAAAAGCTACTTATCGCAACTTGCTTTTACAGCAGTTAGCCTGAGGTTCATATATGTGACCAAGTGATTTCTTCTGTAGTGCTGCTGCAGTCGCTTCGGATTACCAGAGGAAGTGGTTACAGATCATGGTCCCCAATTCTGTCGTTACGGATTTGAAACTTTCCTCTAACGACATAAGGTAAAACACCCCTACAATCCTGCAACTAACAGCATGGTGGAGCGAAATACGGGCAATCCAACTAGGATGGGTAGAGTGGGACGAAGCTGTCTTAACTGCACTGCTATCATACAGAATCTGTGAACACAGAGCCACAAGTAAAAC